CACACACACACACACACACACACACACACACACACACACACCACACACACTCCATCCCCATCATTTTCTCTCTTTTCTGCATTGCCCCCAAACCAAAACATTCCATGGTCCTTTCCTGGTATTACTAGGACATAAAAATTGTTTCAGGGAGTCTTCACTCAGCTGACAGATGACAGAGGCAAACAGCGGAAGCTGATGACCCCTTGGTGAATCATTGCACGTGGCGGGTGGAGGTACCTTCCTGGGACTTAACCCAGCTCCATGACTGTGCGACGTCACGTCACTCACCTTCTCTGAGCCTCAGCTTCCTCTTTTGTAAAATGAGGATAATCATCCTTTCCTCACAGGATTGTTTGTGAAGATTAACTGAAAACAATGTATGTACAAATGTACAATCATTAGAGTAGAACGTTGTTAAATATTTAATCAGACCCCCCTTCCCCCCAAAAAACCACACACACACACACCAAAAAGCCAAGCTAACACAAATCCCACAAAACTCCTTCAATTTAGTCTCTACTCTCAGAAGATAGTAATTTTTTTGTTATGGGGCATAGATGCGATGATTGTTATTATGGACTAAAGATGGCAGCATATTTTTCCTCCATCCCCCATTGAGAGGTAGACTCATTGAATCTGGCCCAGTCCTGTGGCTGCTTAGCAACAGAATATGGTGAAAGGGACTCCGTGCCAGCTCTGGATCCAGCCTTTCAGAGGACTGGGAGCTTCTGCCTCCTCCCTCTGGGAATGCTCCCTCTCAGAATGTGGGTGCCATGCGGAGAGAAGCAAGGCCTGTGCAGCTACTCCAGTACACAGCCCCAGCAGAGCTGTCTACCAACAACATCACTGCCAGCCCTGGGAGCAGCCTTCTGGGCCTTCCCGCCCAGGTTAGCCCTGGATGATGCAGCCTCAGCTGACATCACGTGGAACAGAAGATCTGCCCAGCTGAGCCCAGTCCATCCACAGACAATAAAGTGTTAGGCCGCTAAGCTTTGGGGAAGTGTGTTACTCAGCAAAATGCCGCAAAAACAATCATAAAGACATACCTGATTTTTTAAAAACACCTAATCTAATCAGACCCAACCCCACAAGAACATTACTTAACAAACACTCCACAAACATTTATGGGAGAGTCTCCAAGAAGCACGTTTGCAAGGTATGCACTTATTCTACTGCTCAGAGTACATTTAAAACTCTGCTCTGTGAACTACATTTAGAAATTCCCTGGGAGGCCTACACACAGGAAAATGTCACGCCTGCTCCTTGTGACAAAAATGTGTCACCCACTTGATCCCTCACCTTCTGCACCCCACCTGTGGCTCTCAGTGGTTTTTAATTTTTATCAAAATGAAACTCAGGTCCAAAGTTCTGAGGAGATTCCAGGGTTTGTGTCAGAAGGGGGCTGGCTGCATTACAGGGACTTGCGTGCCCAAGTGTGTCCCATCCATTGTGAGTCCAGAGAGAGCAGCGACAGCGTCAGATTCATCCTGGCGGCCCCCACAGAACATACCAGGGAGCCTGGAGCATGGCAGGCACCCAAGAGCCCTTTGTTGAATGGACGCTGCGAGATCTAATCCATCAGTGAGTAATAAAAACGTACTGCGCCCCTGACAGCATCCTTGGGCGATGTGTATTGTGACAACTTCGAAGGTGACAACGCTCACTTGTAAAAGTCAATCTATTTGTACTAAATCTGGGGGCTTAGCACTGAATCAGGACCACAGTGCTATGCAAACTGTGACAAACGGGAAGGACTGTCGCCTACGTTATGAGCCACAGAGAGAGGCGCCATTTCACTGAGGAAAAGGGATACCAACTACAAAGAAGACTGTTCCCTATTCACCAAGGCACATAAGCCACAGGTGTCATGGAATCAGAGCAGAAGGTCTGCTCAGTGACGTCCGTATGTGTGTTTTCAGGACAAGCATGGAAGCCTCATTTACATGCTCTCTAATCTTTCCACAAATCCTGCAAGGTAGACATTATTATCCCCATTTCATAGCTGTAGACATCGATCCTGTGTCGAGTCGGGCTATTTCCATGATCTCAGAGCATCAGGCAGTGAGGGGACTATAGGTGGAGAGATGGGGGGGGGGCGGTGATGTATGTGAGTGGGAGTGCAGGGGAGAAACAGTAAAACTCCCAGAGAGTGACAACTTTTCCCAGGGCAAGAGAATCATTGGCCCTTCTCTAGAGAGCTCTCGGTAGACAGGTGACAGGGTAGCCTCTGGAAGGGTATTTGCAACTTCTGCCCACTGGAAGCCCAATCGGTTTCTGGAAATTCTCACCCAATGAACAGAGAGATGCCTTTTCATCAGCATCTTCCAACTTCCTCGGTCGAGCCAAAGCTGGTCTTCCTATCCCGACTTCCTATTGTTTCCTCTGATAAGCAGGGCCCCAGTGAACAATTAAAGCTCTCAATAAATAATCTCCAAGCACATTCATTTGATTGACTGTTATTTGATACAGCAGTTAGTTTCAATGGGGCAGTTAATATTGATCACATAAAGTACTCCACACAAACATCAAAGTGTTCCAGAACTCCATGGATTATTACCCTTTATCTGCCAGTCATCTGGGTTACGTGTAATGGTCACGGAATTTAAAATCAATAATAACAATTAGTGTTCTGTACACCAAAAGGGATGAATCATGGGAAATGGGTTTTCATATAAAATCAAAGGGTAAGCGGGCCTGTGCTTGGAGAAGGGCTCTCTGCATTTCCAGGACGCATTTGGCAAAGTACTTCAAGAACAGCAAGAGAGAAAGAAAGGTACTTTGGAGGAGATTCGGCCATAAAAATGCATGTGAAAGAAACCCTTGACGGTCTTCATCCTAAAAGATGAAGCGTGAAAGATAAAAGTGATCAAAATCAGTGCGAACAAATGTAGTGAAATTAATGGGACTGGCAATTTACTTCCTCTGAGATGTGGTACTAGCTTCCTTTCTCAGCTTCCAATTCATAGGCATTCATGGTGATTTTTTTTGTTTTTTTGGTAATAAAATGGCAACAACGGTATTTTAGCCCCTCAGCCCCACCATGTAATGTCTTACTTTGGAGGAGATTCGGCCATAAAAATGCATGTGAAAGAAACCCTTGACGGTCTTCATCCTAAAAGATGAAGCGTGAAAGATAAAAGTGATCAAAATCAGTGCGAACAAATGTAGTGAAATTAATGGGACTGGCAATTTACTTCCTCTGAGATGTGGTACTAGCTTCCTTTCTCAGCTTCCAATTCATAGGCATTCATGGTGATTTTTTTTGTTTTTTTGGTAATAAAATGGCAACAACGGTATTTTAGCCCCTCAGCCCCACCACTGTAATGTCTGCATAATTAAAATGCAAAGCAACAGAGAAATGTTTCATCATTAAACTGTAACCAGCGCACTATGTGAAACCATCCATTCCAAAGACTTGTTTTTCATCAATTATTTGTTATTTATCTGATGTAAATATAAGGAGGACTAATTAAAATGTATGCCTTTTTATTCAGTTTCTTGTCATTAAAGCCAATGAAAGCATTCTGAGGCCCATAATGAAATAATTATGTTTGCCTTTAAGAATTCTCTTCAATAACACACGGCAGTACTGAGTTAAATTAAAACATCAGGAACTAAATTTCGCTTGCCTCCATTTCCATTTTAGTTAATTATACCCCCAAGCTTTCCAATAGACCAGACCCTAAAAAATCTTTTGAAGCCGAAATGACCTTCAGATCATCAGCCTTTTTTATAATTATGGACTTTGATGACCAGACAAAGGTACTGTAGCCCTGAAAGCTGCAATATTTGTGAGAAGAGGGATTTATTCTATGGGGTCTTCATTTGCTCTGCAAATTAGGGAAAAACTATAATAAATGTGATCACTATCTCTTCCCAGTTAATTGATGCACTCTTCTTACCTTTCACAGTATTCTGAATTCAGCTATGCATTTGTTTGTTTGTTTCTGACTTGGTAAAATGTTCAGTAAGTAATTGATAAAAACAACAACAAGCAACAACAAACATTTCACTAAATCTGAATCAAATTAGGAGACTAACTACTATTCAATACTAAAACTAAAAAAAGGGCAATCGTTTAAGAAAGGAGTCAACTGAGGAGAACCTATGAACTTGAAAAAAAATAATAGGACACTTAACATTTTGAATTTCTTCTCTAAACCTCCAATGGGATATACTTGCAAAAGTAAAAACAGAAAAGAAAGAAAGAAAAGAAAAGAAATCCGAGTTTGAGAGAAAAGGAAGAGGGAAAGAGGGGAGGGGAATCTGCTCCGTGGTTTCTGGGCTGGTGGCTAGTGCACTGGCTTGAACAATGCTGTCATATGATGCGGATGGGGGTGGGGACCTGGTACTTAGAAAAGTAAATAGAAGTCCCAGGGATTAACTCCCTGACAATGTGAGTTCCCTCCCATTTTGCTCTGTAGGGAGACTTGGCATGATTCATGGGGGATAATATTTGGTGACTGCTGGATAGACTGTGTCACCAGGCACCAGAGGGGAACTGTTGACAGCCAGCAAGCAAATACCTATGATATGACAACTGCCATTATAATCTTAAGTCTGTTTGTATTAAAATCACTTTCTTCTTTGTTCTGTTTACAGCAATCTCCTTTTGGGAATGAGGTACCCTGTCACCCACGATCACCCCTGTTAAAATGAGCTTTCTTCTCCCCATCAGAGCTGGTTCACTTCAGCAGCCGCTGCAGGAGGCCTGGAGGCCTCTGGGACCCCCATGCCCTGACCAGAGGAAATGCTTGGCTAGGCTCAGTCGCATCCCTGACGTCAGTTCCTGTTATCCTCGCCTTATCATGCTGGGGACCAAGGGTCTTATCTTACTGAATGGCCCCCTTTCAGCTCCCCACCCTGCAAGGCCAGAGAAAAATCAAGTCAGCAGTCCCACTGCCTGTTTGAATTCCCATCCAAGAAGCTCTGAAAGCTCACGATAAATAACATAATAACTGCAGACACCCTCTACTGCTTCCTAGGTACAGAGAGCTTTTCCAACTTAAAAAAAAAATCATTTGAAAGGATTTAGGGGGATGGGATGGGACAGGAATCATGCTTCTTGATGATGAAGTAAAGAAGCTGGTTAGGAAGAGGAGAATTCAGGGCAGCATATTGACTGATGAGGTTGTGTTATTAGACCTTACAGACGGGGCAGGTTATCTCATCTCCTATTTAACAAGAGGTACTTAGGCCAAGACACTTACAGACAGACTACTGATAAATCTGAAACCCGAGCTAGCTCTTCGCTCCTCTCTCCATCACCCCCAATTCCAACTTTTTAAGACGAAGCTGGAGAAGAACTGATACAGATTCTTTCATAGTAATGCAATTTAATAATTCTACCCCATCCCTGACTACACACACACACACACACACACACACGTGCTGGAGTTAGAACCACGATCACAATACTTAAGTGCATTTTGCAAGGGATGTCTTCTATTCACACAAAAGGAATTGCCACAGAAGGAATTCACGTTCCCAAGAATGACCCAGAAGCACGAGGAGATCCTCAGTAATAATGGAAAAATTAAGCTGTGAACACTCTGGTTACATTGACCATAGAATCCAAACAAAGACTTTCTGTGCCACTCCTGGGTTCAAGGGGCAGCCTAGGAAATGTCCCAATATCGAAATAACTGGCATATTTCAATGATTAATGTGGGAATTGTGGCCGTATATTTGAAGGTGGATTATTCTAGAGAATCAGAGATATATGATTGCCATAACTGCCCTGTAATTTGAAAGGCAAGATTCCACATTAATATCTCTTGGAAAGGTTTTTAGCCAAGATTTTTTCGGATTAACCTTCATCAAAACTCCCATTTCCGAAATGGCCTACTTAATTGATAGTTAACTGAATTTATATTAGAACATTTAAAGTATAAAAATGTCATTTAAGGATAAATTTATTGGCAGTTACATGTAACTCAAACTCTATAGAAGATTCTTTATAAGAGGTTCTAAAATGAACACTGCACGTATTGTTTTTAATAAGTCCTGTGCGACTTGAAAAAAGTTTTCTATTTTGCATCTTGGCTTTACATCTCCATCTGCCTCCCAGAGAGTTACTTTCCAAGTAAAAATTTCAAGCGTTTAAAAAATGTTTTTGCTTTTAAAGATGATAAATTCCTTGAGAGCAGAATTTATCATCGTTATCATATATTTCCCTTCTGAAATCCTTTATTGATGCTTGTGGAATATATAAAGGAGAAAAACGGTAATGTTTTCTTTTCAGCCATCTCAGGGGCTTACCATGTTGAAAGTAAATTCTAAACATCTGATATCCAGAACTTTCTTTTACTTTTATGCTGCAAAGAAAAGTTCATGACAACAGTGACTGGTTATCTATGGACGAAGCCAGGCTTTCAGAAATGAGAAGAAAACTTCTGATTCAGGTCAGCTAACCTATCAGAAATTGCCATTCTGATCATTTATCTACTAAGGAAAAAAAAAAAAAAAGAGGCCCATTCCAATTGCAAAGGCTCTGCATTTGGGCTGGGAAATCAAATGCTAACTAGAGCTTCTAAATCAGTTCCATAGGCGAAGCTGAAGCAGACAGATGCCTACCGCTCCTACTGTTTTGTTTTACTTTTGGAATCTACGCTTTTCTCGTGATGAAATTTAAACTCACACACTTTTTCTCCTAAGTTGCCCATCAATAGCTCCCTATCCAAAGCACCAAGGTCTCTGGATACGGACAACACTTCTTTTAGTAAATTTCTTTTTTTCCTCCAGGGAAGAAAAGTCTGTGAATCTTCCACTTGTTTTCAACCGACCCTGTCCTGCACCCTCTAAGGTTTAAAGCAAAAATCCCCTTTCTTCTCTTCTTTCTGGTGGTATTAGTTACCACCGTCATATGGCCCAGAAGCAGAAAATTATGCCCTACTTTAGAAAAACAATTGAGCCTTTTCACCGAAATATTTATTCAAAACCCCAATCAATTCATACGGTGGCTGTCAGTCTTTATTTAGTCTCTCTTTCAGAGGGTATCTTTGATTTTGCCACTTTGACCCCAATTTATATCTCAGTAGGAGAGGATTTAGATACTGTTTAATACGTAAAATTCAGGTCCCAGGTCTCTGAGAAGGGGACTTTTTTCATTCCTTAATCACACATAACCACAGCTGTTTTTTAAAAAACAACCACCACAGATTATTCCTTCTCATTAATGGGCAAAAGACTATTTCAAAAAGAATTTTCCCCCCCATTTTTTCTTTTGATGTGTTGAGTAGGGAAAAGACAGGGAAAGGGGCCAAGAAATTGTCACACTCATTTCACTGAAAGCAACTATATTTAGACCACAAATATTAGGATTTATCCTATGCCCACTGAGCAATTAATGCTGAAAACATCTGGAGCAGCCTAAAACCCAAGATAATCCAAGAGGCATCTGAACAGAAACTTAAGAGACTCCATACCTTCCAGGGGCAGTCTTAAATCGTATTATTTATACCACATTCCCTTAGTAGCCCACTAATCCTGACTTCGCATTTTTATAACCAGCAATTTATAGGCCCTACTCCAACAGCAGCTGGTTGGCATATCATTTTTCTGTCTTGAAAATTAAAAATTGAGAAAAGGAAAATAATATTCTAACACCTTTCAAGAAAAGCTTCTGGTGTGTTTTGTATTCAAAGGTTTTACTCTAAGTACTACACACAACACACACACACACACACACACACACCATTAAAAAATCAGTAGGATCTCAAAACAGAGTTTTGGTTGGAATTTAGTACTATTTTTTTTTCCCATCTTGCCCACTGTTTCCTCTGCCTTAAGAGCACAAACAGATCTGCTTCTCGTCAAAACAGTCATTAAGTAAAATGGAAAAGGTTGTAGCTTTTATGTGTTACTTGTACAAACGTAGCCCTAATATGCTTTTATTTCAAAAGCCCTAGCTAGCCAGTTATGCCACTCTGAACCATACACCCCTGGCAGACATTTGTTATGATTTTTATTTATGCTTAAAAACTGAATCACTTGAACACCTACACTGACCAGTCTGAAAGAGGTTTATGGGGGAGAAAGCAGCTTTGAATGGGGCATAAGCAGTATTTACATTTTATTCATTTCACCTAAAGTTAGGGTGGGGGATGCAAACCCTTGTGAAACTGACCACAGTAAGCTCTAATTGCCCTGCTTACAAAAATAAGACACTGGAATTTCTGAAATCCCTTTGTCAAATGCCTTTATTTACTTTTCCTAATGCAAGTTTCTTTGATTAGCTGAACTTTGCTGTTATCAACACTTCTTGCTTATCGACCGGCCCTAGGCGAATGACACATTTACCACTCCTCTTCCTAGATAAGAAAAATCCCTTGTTTAACTTGTTCAAGAACAAACAAAGCTTTTCCCCCTACTCCTACAACTTAATGGGCATGTTTGGAGGGTTAATTACAAAAGGGGGAATGTCTGCTTGTAAAAGCTCTATTAGGTCTAATAGCTTTATGCCAGGGTCTTCGGCATTTTTCCCCCTTCTTAAAAAAATGTTTCCTTAGAACTTTTTCCCGCAAAAAGTTTGAGAGGGCCCCCCCCCCCCGGCCCCCAGATCCCAGAGACCCCAAGTGAGATTGTTCACCCTGTTTTAATTGCTGGAGAGGACAGGTCTAAAAGATCTGCGAGAGGCTTGGAAAATTACTTTGTAACGCTAAGTTCCTCTGCCTTCTCTGGAAAGAAACTAGGAAGCAGGAAAGAACAGGCATTTGGGGAGCAGCTGAAGATGAAGTCGCCTTCTGAAAATGATATTGTTTTTGCCCTGGTTAAGGCTCTACGAAATATTAAGTCAGACAGCCAGACTGTTGGCATCAAATGGTTATTGATTTTTCAGCTCCAAACCTGTTGATTTCCTGGCCCAAGAAGCAAGCCTTTCTCCTTAAGAAAAGTTTCAGAGAGGGCAATTTAAATCTTGTCACTGTCCCCTCTCCTTTTTCTCCTCTCTCTTGAGATAAGCCACCATGTTATTAGGAAAACACAATTTCTCCCAGTTACACTTTGACCTCTTTGAAAACAAAGATTTAAAATGTCATTTTCAGGCTAATGCTCCAATGAATTGTCAAATAAAGTACGAAAAACATTTTGATAGATAGCGCAGCCATTTATCTAAATCACTGTCAGGGCGAAGATGCATCCTGCAGGCTCCCACTACAGCCACCGAAGGTGGGTTTTCTGGGACTTCTGGTCATTTCTCAAGCCAGCAGCCAGGCTACTGTTGACCAGATGCGTGCCTCGGCACCGTGTCAGCATCAGATAACCAAATAGTCAATATTTTTTTTTTAAAAGCTGGGCTACCTCGCTTATATTTCCTTCCCTAGAACCGATGTCCAGGTTCCTGACTGAATTGCAAGATATGGAAAATAATGGATGGCTCAGCCCAAGGGGTGTTCATTGCCAGTAGTTTTCTAGCAAAACAGCAACTTCTTAGAGCAACAAAGTGACTCGGAAAGGTGGCAGCAGGGTCAATGCTAAGAAATATTGCTTTTCCTTCGCAAGGAAAACATTGGGGGCTGCAGCTTTAACTGGTGGTTTATGAACTTCAGGAGCCGCAAGCCATCTCAATCAGGCTAAGTTCCTTGCAAGGAAGATGTCATATTTTAATTACTTTGGACTGTTGAAACACATGGGGAAAGGTGGGGGGGATATACACAACCCGTAGCTAATCCAAAGAACAGCAAAGTTAAATTCCCCTCTGCACACATCTTAGTAAAAACTGCACCATGTGTCAAATTGCCTTACTTGAAGAATGTTTCAAAGTCCTGTGGTCACCCTCTACTTTTCACCCTCCCCTCCATGCAGATTTAAAAAAAAACACAAAAAACTGCTTTCAAGAGATTGTAAGGTTGGTAAGGAGAGGAGCGGGGGTCGGGAGGGGTTGTTTGGGAAGAAAACGTCTTACAGGAAAATTTCAGCAGAGGGGATCAATATGCACACGCCAGCATATCACACCCTTTCAGCATTAAATCATTAAACCCTTTGTCTTGCTACCAGTGCAGATTGTTTCCAATGTCTTTATTGCATGCAAGAGAGACAATTCATTCTTTTTTTTTTTTTTTTCTTGGTAGAAGAAGGGAAAAAATAAACCTACATTGAGCAGTGTGCCGATGTTGCCATTCGGTTTGGGTCAATCCACTGAAGCATGCTTTGAGAGCTTTTTCCTGGAGCATGCAGGAAGACGGGCTCGCAGTGTAGAAATCCAGGATTTGCCCAGGACTCACTGACAGAACATCCATACAGTCAAACATGATCTCCCCTGCACCGAATGTCTGCAAAAGTGCTTATCCTCTAGGTGTGGAGGCAAATGGCATAGAAAAGTCCACCCAACTCCATCAAACTCTGCCCCTTTTTTGGCACGTAGGCTGTTGGTCTTTTTCCCAGCCCCGAATCATGAATTATGACAGACAAGCCAGCTAAAAGCCTGTAATTGATCCAAATGATCATTTACCATTTTCCAGGCTTGCTCGCCCAATCCAGCCGGGGCGGGGGTTCCCAGCAAGATCCCAAGTTCTCCTTCCGAGCCAATGCCTGCAAAAAGCCTTCCGAATGCGGTCCGGATCCTACCCCGACGGTGCCCAGGCAAGCCCTGCCCGGCTCGCTCGCGTCCTCGGCATCCCAGTCCTCAAACAGCGCGCTTGGGGGAATTCTGGTCCCCCCTTTGGCAAAGAATAGACCCTCCTGCCTCTGAACAGCTCACTTCCTACTACTTCTGTCACACAGAATGAAAGATTGAATTGCCTAATATATGCGAGTGAACTTTCGGTGAACCCTTCCCGGGCTGCTAACCTTCAAATGACCCAACGAGTCTGACATCACCAACTCCCAGGATTCTCACAGAGCTCAGAAACTCCCAGCAGCCCTGCAAACGCAGACAGCCAGAGACACAGGCAGCGAGCGAGCGCGCGAGCCGGCTCTTTCTCTCCCATTTCTCACCTTAAAAACAATGCAAGAAGTGCTTTTAAAACGAGCCGGGGAGGAGCCAGGACGCCGCTCCTGGCTCACGCTGAGCGCCCACTTCTCTCCCTTTTCGCCTTTTTCTTTGCAGCCGCTTCGCTTGCAAGCGCCTGTTCCCCCGTTCCCCTCTCGCCTCCCGCCCACCCTCTCGCCCCCAGCCCACCCTGTAAATTCCTCTGAGCGCCTCTCTGTCTGTTAAATTCCTTGTACCTTATGTATTTTTCCACTCCCGAAAAAGCACAGGCAAGCCCTAAACTGTAGAAAAGGGAACGGCTGCCCCTCGGGGAAGCCTGGAGATGAGAAACTTTCCATTTCATAATGTTTTTCTCCTTATCCCCTCTTGCAAGCCCTGGCATTGCATTTGCTCTGGAGTGAAAAGCTAGCTTTCCGGATTCAGTTACTTTTCAGCATAGGGAGTAGTCAAGAGTTGGTTACTCCTGTCCCAAACACACGCACGCACGCACACACACACACACACACACACACACAATCAGTGATACAGAGGATTTCAGGTCCTGACCTGAGCAAATATATAGTGCTCAAGAGCATGGATGTGGGAGTCAAACTGAACTAGATGCCCAAATCCAATCCGGTTATATCACCTATCAGCTGTGTGATCTGGGACTCAGTTTTCTCATCTATACAATGGGAATATACTACTACCCACCTCAGTGGGTTGCTGTGAGGACAAAAAGAAATAGTGCGTGTATGACACTTAGGACATATCCTGGAACAAATATTAGTTGTGATTCTTCCTCTTATTTTTATTTTTTAAAAATTTATTTATTGATATTTTAGAGAGAGAAAGGAAAAACAATGATTTGTTGTTCCACTTACTTATGCATTCATTGGTTGCTTCTTGTATATGCCCTGACCGGGGATGGACCCAGCAACCTTGGTGTATCCGGACAACCCTCCAACCAACTGAGCTACCTGACCAGGGCCTCTCTTATTTTTCAACTAGGGAAATAAAAGCCCAGAGATTCTGAGACCTGCCTAAGGTAATACAGCTTAGAATCGCAACTAAAACCCAGTTCCCTGGAATCCCTGTCTAATGCAGAAGTTACTGTGCTGTTCCCACAGCCTCACACCCCGATAGCATATCGGCGGCCTCTCATCACACAATCACCCCCCCCCAAAAAAAAAATTAAACACATATTTGAAAACTGGTTATGTGTGAGGGTTTTGTATTTGCAAGGGCCAATTTTCACCAATACGAGCCCCTGCCCCATCTGGCTACTTATTGTTTTAAGAGAAAAAAAAATATTTCTGTACCTCCTACACTGACCCCACCTAGAGGAGGGAGAAGCTTTTTAACCAAGTCCTAAAACATTGAGAAGGACAGGTGTAATATTTACAAATAAACTCCCCTGACAGAGAGCTTTGACGGACAGCCAACCCACCCTGCAGCCATTTTGCATAACTTGTTTAAAGGGTGCAACTATACTTCAAAGAAGAGAAACTCTGGGAGGAATGAAGACACCCCACCTCTTCCCCTGCCTCTCCAATATTTACTCATAATTCTCCCACCAAGCAGGGTGGGCAGGTGGACAGCCTGCTTGCCCCTTGCAAGGAGAACGCTGCTCCAGTCTCCTTTCTGGTGGACAGTGCTGGAATGCACATTGGCATCCAGGCTTTTACAAAGCCTGTCAGGGGGCACCCCGCCCCATACTGTCTAGCGGAGTTGCTAAGTGGCACTTGTGGTGTAACATGAAAAGTATGCATCGCACACACTTCCCAAGTCCAAGGTCCTTTTACGAAGGCACATTAAAACAATTTTCAGCCCAGCAAGCTCAGATCGTGCTATTGAAAAGTCCAGGGTGATCAAGGCGCGAGATTTTGCTGAATCTATGTATTTATTTCCTCTCTCTCTTTATACCATCCTCATTCTGTAACAGAGCTGTATTATAAGAAACCCTTTAACTACGAAGAAAACACACATTTTGAGCAAGGAGCATGGAGGAGTTTACAAAACATTTAACACACTGTTGTTAAGATAGTTGTAAAGATACACAAAGCACCATTATCAAGTGGCAATTTCTATGTGGTCCTTGAGACTTATAGCTCCAAATGTTTATTTAAGGTCCTCAGAGTTCCTTGGAAACTGGGCTCATTTTAGACCCGCTACTGGCCGTGGGTGAACAGTTGTTCGGGGAGAGAGGAGGACGCATCTCTATTTAAAGTACAGCAGGAGGAACTAATTGGTGAGACAGGGCAGCGCTGCCAGGTGTGTGTGTACAGGTATCAGCTACCAGGGGAGGCCACTACACTTCCTCACTCAATATCCTGCCAAAGGACAGGGTGCACTGGTCCCGGGGAAATGAAGATGGGTTTGTGTCCCCTGAATTCTTTTTTTAAAAAAATATATTTTATTGATTTTAGAGAGGAAAGGAGCGGGGGAGAGAGAAACACCAATGATAAGAGAGAATCATTGATTGGCTGCCTTTTGCACACCCCCCACTGAAGAATCAAGCCTGCAACCCAGGCATGTGCCCTTGGCCAGAATCGAACCTGGGGCCCCTCAGTCCGCAGGCCGACGCTCTATCCATTGAGCCAAACCAGCTAGGGCTGTGTCCCCTGAATTCTGTTCTCATTTCTTAAGCTAGAGAATCAGCCTCATCTCAAAAGGGCACACCTGCTCCCAAATTTCTTCCCTCAGTACTATGTCATAACACAAAAACAATAACAGTATGCGCATAGTAGGGGCTGGGAGATTTGGTGTTTTCTCTTTTTGTGTGTGTGCAAGAATATTTAAAATTTATAATCGCCTTAAAGTCGTCTTAAGTGTAGAGAAAAAAACTTGGGCCTTGAAATGAACGATCAGCATTTAAATCCTCGTGAACAGAATACTATGGGTGTCTCCTACTGCAACAGTATTCAGTCGGTTAATCTTTTCTCATCATGAATTAATTATGCTGAACGCAATTATGAGAACTATTATTTAACCCAAGTATTCATTTATAAAGCAGCCCCACAATTTAGCTGCACATTCCTTATCATTTCTTCATCAGTAAATCTAATTCTTACACTTCTTGAAAACTTGATTCCTACTCCAAATTTTCATCTTAAGTAAAGACACACAAATAAAGCACAATTCTTTAAATACATACCCGTGTACTAAAAAGATGAATGACTAGGTAGAAGGTGACAAATGGCCTAGTTAATTTCTTGATAATGAAGTTTAAATTATTGATGCCTCTTTTAAACATTAATCAGTTGGACAAAACCTTTCCCAAATATCCTCTTGGTACAGCATAAAATAAGATTTGGATAAATGTCATTTCCTGTACAGTTAGCCCTCACTTATGTTGTCAAAAATTTTCTGCGACTGTAAGCAAAACAATGTATAACAAAACCAGTTTTTCCATCGGCTAATTGATAGAAATAAGAGTTAAGTTCCTAAGACATTACATCAACATCATAACGAAATAACTCGAACAAAATGACGTTATCCGAGGACCTGCATTTCCTTTGTGTTTGACCCACGATAAAATAAACCCTAATAAACGTATTTCCAACCCCAAACAGAAAGGCAAAAGTTTGAGACCAAAAACCATTTTGTTTCAGAGTAACCGTGTATTTGTCAGTGTGACACAGCACATTTGAAACCCATAATCATAAAACAAAAATTTATAGGCCGGGTTCAGGGTCTACATCTGTTTCTCTGGTTTTCACACAGCAATTACCCACTGGACAATCCAGATAGAAACACCATGAATCACGCTTCGCAAACATGTTGGAACTGGAGAGTTTTGTGAAGAAAGAGCAGGCATCTTGAGGCGACAGTATTGCAGCCGGTCGTGTTCAAAAACTGGTCGAATGCTTTGTGTGATGTCTAAATAAAGTGATTCCTACAGGCGCAGACATATCCACCCCAGGCACAAGTCATGCAAAGTGCAGGCGTGCACGGGAGGGGGGAGTGGAGGGAGGTGGACATGGATTGTTTTAAAAAGACACACCTGTCTCTTTCATGTTTTTTTTTTAAGTATTTATTTATTTTTTTGCTGTTAATCTCATATAAACCCCTCTCGCCACAATTCTGCCAGAAGAACAAATGGTTAGCACTGAGTGATGTGTGTGTCTTGCAGGGGAGCCAAGGCCGAGATGTGTTGCCCGCACAAGCCAAGTGCTGAGGCGGTCCCCAGGGCTTCCTCACCACAGGCAGAGCGGCTGGGAGAGGTTCTAACACTCATCACCCACGGAGACTGCTGCAGGCCCTTCAATCACAACACCCGCTAATGTACAAGGACGGTTGTTGTTCGTGGATCTCATACCAGAAGCACCAAACATGGCCTTGCAAGGTGGCTGTCTGCATCACTGCAGACTGGGTCCTCTTAGGACCCCAAGGAGCATCTGTTTTTCCTCAAACACTTCTCTCCACCTCGAGTGTTGGCCACTGTGTCCTTCCTTCATTGGGCTCCTTTCTCTCCAGCTTCCTGCCTTTTCCAGTTTCCTTCCGGTTACTTAAAAACACCATTCCCCCAGGACCAGGGGCACACTTCTCTCTTCCCACACTTCTGAGTTATTTTCTTTAGCACCTCTTGGCTTTTGCTGTGCATGACTCATGAAGACATCTCTTAAAGACCAACAGTTTCTGTCGGTCCCAACTTCAGACTTAAATACATCCCCTCCTGAAGGCCTAGGTACTGAGCAATAAGCTCCCAACCATTTCTCAGCTGATGGCCACTGCTGGGGGCACCATCTCAATGATCAGTTTGGGGGAGACTTATCTTTGGCTATTTCCTCTTACTTACTTTCCCCCTTTTTAATTTAGATTTTTTTTGAAGTAATTCTATATAATAAAAGGCTAATATGCAAATTGTCACCCCGGGAGTTCGACTGACCAGGAGTTCGACCGGTTGCTATGATGTGTGCTGACCACCAGGGGGTGGCTCAGAATGAATGAAGGCCCCGGCCTGCAGCTGGAAGGCCCTGATCAGCCCTGATTGCCAGCCAGGCCTAGGGACCTTATCCGTGCACAAATTTTGTGCACCGGGCCTTTAGTATCTATTCATAAAAACTCAGAGAGTTTTGTCTGAAAGATATAAAGTGAAAAGGATATATATATACTATGTTATCCATTCATCAAATGTTGAGTGCCTACCATGTGCCAGTCACTGTCATAGGTGCTGGGCCTATATCTTTGTGGGGT